CACACACACACACACACACACACTCTCTCACACACACACACACATCTTTCATCATTCGCCAGAACTGAAGTTTCGGATGATTATATATAGAAATGAAACTGTGATCATCAGGGTTATTGGTTAAATGGGTTTGGCCATGATGAAATCGGACTTGAGAGGTTTTATGAGGGCAGAAGATTAATAAATCATTACTTCTGAAGCAGCTCTATATGTTTATGAGATACAAATGCCCAACTCAACTCTAAGAAACGCAAAACCATGCAGATGTCAGATGTCCCCTAGTCATCTGCAGTCACAGCAGTTCTGAAATAAAAGAGGAAACAGCACGTGCCAGTCAAGAGTCACAGCCAACAGCCCTCCGCACTCACAGAATCGCCACACATCCAGAACAGCCTGGACCTGCAGCGACACCTGGTGCTCGATACATGTAACGTGTTTTATTATTATTTTTTCAACACTTAACATTTCAGTCATATTCATGTGTTTATGTCTCATCTTTTCTTGTATTCATCAGCATTTTAATCCATCTTGAAGATGTCCTGGGAACTAAATATCACTTAAATTGGGAACTAAATGTCTTTTCCAACTTGAGAGCTATATAGCCTATTAATTTATATATAATTAATATTTAATTTGATCTCGATTCAATGTCAATACATATGTATATACTGTATAAGGGGATACACATCTTCTGTTGAATGCCTTTTTAACACCATTTTAAACTTTTCTTGGGTTAAATTCAGTATTTGCTTGTTTTCATTAATATTCACCTGTGTGTACTTGATATCATTAAAAATTAATAAAGGATGTAATTTATTAACTTTTTTAATTTCATGTATATTTATTAAAGAGCCATACAGGTACCTAGTGGGTAAACCATGGCATTACAAATAAAAAAGATTTTTTTCCAACCACAAAATGACTCTAATTTGCCTCTTAAACCTTAAATAAGCATACTACACTAATTGTGATATAAATGATAGAAACATTAGAAAAAAATATTTTAAGTGGTCATTACTAATGGACCATAATTATTGCACAAATAGTATTTAGTACCAAACGATCTCCTCAAAATATTAAATAAATAGCATTGAACTAAAATATAGAACATTTAATTAACTTTAAAAAATTGTTAAGGTCTATGGTCACATTCTAAGTAAGGAATACCTGAGGGTTAAATACAAGAAAAACATATTAATGTTGCCTCTCCATCACTCTCCAGAATAAAATGATCCTGTAAATGTCATCGACGTAATAATCAATGCATAATATGCTGTAATGTTTACCAAAAGTTGCTGCAAATAGCTGTAGAGTGAAGCTGTGATGTATGCTATTGAACCACGTGACCACGCGGCGGCGAGATCAAAGAAGCAATGTAGCAACTCTACTGTAACTGAGGCGCTACAACAGCTCCGCCACATTCAGTGCGTCACAACGGTATTCATGTTTGAATTATTATTATCGTATTATTATGATTGGCCTGAACGCTGCTTGCGCGTGCACGGGGGTTCGGGAGCACGCGCGTCTGTGCATAGTCACGCTGAGTTTCTGCTTTCTGCGAAACACGCACACACACACACACACAGACACACACACACACACACACAGACACACACTCACACACAGACACACACACACACTCACACTCACACACACACACAGACACACACTCACACACAGACACACACACACACTCACACTCACACACACACACAGACACACACTCACACACAGACACACACACACACTCACACTCACACACACACACAGACACACACTCACACACAGACACACACACACACTCACACTCACACACACACACAGACACACACTCACACACAGACACACACACACACTCACACTCACACACACACACAGACACACACTCACACACAGACACACACACACACTCACACTCACACACACACACAGACACACACTCACACACAGACACACACACACACTCACACTCACACACACACACAGACACACACTCACACACAGACACACACACACACTCACACTCACACACACACACAGACACACACTCACACACAGACACACACACACACTCACACTCACACACACACACAGACACACACTCACACACAGACACACACACACACTCACACTCACACACACACACAGACACACACTCACACACAGACACACACACACACTCACACTCACACACACACACAGACACACACTCACACACAGACACACACACACACTCACACTCACACACACACACAGACACACACTCACACACAGACACACACACACACTCACACTCACACACACACACAGACACACACTCACACACAGACACACACACACACTCACACTCACACACACACACAGACACACACTCACACACAGACACACACACACACTCACACTCACACACACACACAGACACACACTCACACACAGACACACACACACACTCACACTCACACACACACACAGACACACACTCACACACAGACACACACACACACTCACACTCACACACACACACAGACACACACTCACACACAGACACACACACACACTCACACTCACACACACACACAGACACACACTCACACACAGACACACACACACACTCACACTCACACACACACACAGACACACACTCACACACAGACACACACACACACTCACACTCACACACACACACAGACACACACTCACACACAGACACACACACACACACACACACTCACACACAGAGAAGTACACGATAACACACACACACACACTCACACACGCAGAGAAGTACACGATAACACACACACACTCACACACACTCACACAGAGAAGTACACGATAACACACACACACACGCACACACACTCACACAGAGAAGTACACGATAACACACACACACACACACACACACACACACAGAGACACACACACAC